AAATCATTTTTGTGTTTAGATACTGTGCTCCTAAAACTGTTCTGGGTCACTTATATGGAAATAAACCAAATGCTCGGAGTAACCTCATAAATACTAAAACTGATCCATCTTTGCAGGACAGAATGCAAAGTTCTTTTCCCATTGAGAAGATCAAAACTGACCTAGCCTGAATGCTGCCACTATGCTGAGAATCAAAGGATTCACAGGGAGAGAGGTCTGGAATTTTCATTTTGGAGAAGCTATAAAGATCATACCTCTGATGGATAAAGGAGTTAAGGCAGGTGAAGATGAGTAGAGGCAACATGGCACACAGCGTCATCACATTATTAAATATGGACTGCAGGTATGAGGGATGAACTTTCTCCTCCCCTGTGACATTCACATTAGCATGATTGTAAGAGTCCTGCAAGTGGTTAGAAAGGGGTCAGAATTTGTCAAATTATTATTATTATTATTATTTAGATTTATATGACTACCTATTTCACAAAGTGAGTCTAGGAGGCTAACATAATATCAAAATATTAGCAAATAACTAAAACTATAAAAGACACACACACACACACACAAATAAAATAAAATAAAATAAACAGAAAAGCAGAGAATCACAACCAAGGGTAAATCCATGAACAACAAATTCATGCATTTCATGAGTTCCACTACCGTCCAACCTGGGAAAACAGCCAGGTCTTAAGAACTTTATGAAAGGCCAGCACGATCAAGACCAATCTAATCTCATGGTGTTATAAAGGGCAGGCACTGCAACTGAGAAGCATGGGGTCCTGCCAGGTAACACTCTTTAATGGGCAGGATCCGGAGTATACCCTTCTGCCAGATCTGAAGGGACTGGTAAAAACAACCAGAGAGGGGTGGTCCTTCAAATATACTGGCCCTATGCCATGGAGGGCTTCATAGGTGACAATCAGTACCTTGAACTGCACCCAGAAACCTACTGGAACCCAGTGCAGCTTGTGCAGCAAAGGTGTAACATGGGTGTACCAATATGCCCTAATTGTTTGCACTGCTGCATTCTGGACCAATTGCAGCTTCTGGATGTTCTTCAAGGTTAGCTCAATGTAGAGTGCATTGCAGTATCCACTGGAAGGTGGCCAGTGCATGAGTGACCATGTACAGTGCCACATGATTCAGGAAGGGGCACAATTGGTACACAACATGAAATTGTGCAAAAGTCCTCCTGGTCATGGCTGCCAGCAGCTCCTTGAACAGCAGCCATGAGTCCAGGAAGACTCTTAGATTGCACAACAGTTCTGTCTGGGATAATGCAATCCCACCCAGAACTAAAGATGGAAAATCACCAGACCCAGGGTGCCCTAAAACCCAAAGCCATTCAGTCTTACTAGGGTTTAGCTGAAGCCTCTTCTTCCCCATCCAGACTCCCACAGTTTCCATACATGAGACAGAACCTCCACAGCATCATTTGGTTGGCCAGGGCAAAGATGTACAACTAGGTATCACCAGCATACTAATGACATCTCACCCTATACCATTGAATGATCTCACCCAGTAGTTTCATGTAGATGTTACATAAGAGTGAGGATTGCACTAAGCCCTGAGGAACTGTACAAAGGAGGAACAGACCCAACCCTCTTCTCCCCACATCAACACCAAGTGAAACTGTCTCCAGAGGAAGAAGGAGAACCAACCCAAGACTGTGTCCCCAACTCCCAACCCCAGAGACAATCCAGAAGGATATCATGACTGATGGCATCAAATGCCACTGAAAGAACAAGGAGATCAAGGATGGACATGGTATCTCCATTTTGCTCCTGCCCAGGTCATCCACAAGCATGATCAATGCTGTTTTGGTCCCAAACCTGTAACTGAAAGGGTGCCACATAATCTGTTTCCTGCAGAGCTTTCTGAAGCTGCAGCATGACCACTGTGGCACACATGTGCAAGCTAAAGAAAGATGCGTGGACCTCTCTGATGAACAAAAGGAACTACAGCATTTC